TTTAAACATTAATACACCAGACAGTTCGCACTTCAAAGACCGTCGTAATCCTCGTATATGTGACTGAATATCGATCAAAGCTTCGTAGTTTGTAACCAAATATTTTGCAATATTTATGAATCACACTAGCTTGCGAAAATTAGTGAAATAGTGGGAAATTTTACACTTTACCATGTGTATTACACAGGAAGTTGTTTTATTAACAAATAGAGTGTCAGTTTCATCGTTATGCTTATCATTTTCATGTCAAATCAGGTAAAGTCTAAATATTAAAAAATTGAAATATGCAAATTTGTCCCTTACCCTTTGTATAAAATCCATATTCAAGTCTTTTCCCACATTTCTTGAGGTTTTAAATTTGTCTGTCGTCTTTCACGGGCGAGAATAACACGAACGACTTGCATATCTTTGTCCAAATAGTCAAAGGTAGAAAATTTGTATCAAAAAAAATTTAAAAACCGATTCAAAACCACGAGAACTATAATATCTGCAAAACTTTTTTGAAAAAACCAGGGGGGTGTGAAAACGGCCGTGGGCTCAGAATTGAGCCTGGTCAGTGGTACCTACCATGAAAATAAAGTAAGTGTTGTCATGGAAATGGCGTCATTTTCACTCAAAATCCGCCATGTTTTTGGCTTCACTTCGATGACTGAACGAAGTATAGGAGCATAGACATATCCTATATCTATGTATAGGAGCAGGTCCTCCAGTTATTATACAGCTCAGTGGTTTGTGTCACACGCACTGAGCTGTATAATAACTGGAGGACCTGCTCCTATACTTCGTTCAGTCAACAAAGTGTCCGCAAAAACATGGCGGATTTTGAGTGAAAATGACGCCATTTCCATGACAACACTTACTTTATTTTCATGGTAGGTACCACTGACCAGGCTCAATTCTGAGCCCACTGCCGTTTTCACACCCCCCTGGTTTTTGCAAAACATTTTTGCAGATAAATATAGTTCTCGACTTCTCGTTGTTTTGAATCCTTTTTTAAAATGTTTTCGAGATAAACTTTCTGCCTTTGACCATTTGGTCAAAGATATCCAAGTCGTACGTGTTTAATCTCGCCCGTGAAAGACGACAAACTAATTTTAAAAACTCAAGAAATGTGGGAAAAGACGATACTTGAAATATATGGATTTACACTCGGATTTACAAAGGTAAAAACGTATTTTCATATTCAATTTTATTTAGACTTTTATATCTTATTTGACATCTACTATCAGACTTATCTTTTAAAAGAGGGAATTAGGTTTTGTGTTATGCACCACTTAATTTTATGTATAAGCTGGGGGTGCTGGAAGCTGTCAGCTGATCTGGGAAGGTGGTTTCTACCTAGCTTTCTTGCATGGTTGGGGATACTTCTTGATTTTTGTGTCATATAAATAGTAATATAGAGGCTTGAGATAAATCACTTTTCCCTAAGCTGAGGTAATAAGGTTTCGCTGAGGTGTGTGCCAAGGCATTACATGTGTCAGTGTGATCACACCTCATTCCCAGGATGGCCTGTTTTCTTACAAGTTTTCTCAGTAAATATCACTCTGAATCAACTATTTACTTTATAAGTACACTTATGGTTCTGATACTGGTTTAAGCTGAGGAGTATGTTAGATCACATCCTTATGTTTACCTTGATCATATGCTATAATTATGTTACTGGTGGATTCTTGTACAACCTGTATAATTAATCTATTCTTTTTTATTGCAGATTTATTCCACAATGACACACTCCTTTGTGGGTGGAAAAATACAGTACCAAGCCACATCTTTGGAAACTGAACATACTGTATTTTACATGCTTCCAGAAATTATGTCACCTTGGCTATAGGCTATAGAGTAATTTTCATGATTGAGACATGCATTGGACTAAAACTCATGCCACATACATGAAAACAAGGCTCCATAGCCAAAGTGACATACATTCTGGAAGGGTGTATTTGACTTTTTGTAAAATTATTAGCAGTAAACAATTTAAAAAACAAAAATGTATAATTTTAATTGCTATAAAACTTATTTACACTTCAATAAAATTATGATAATCATATAATTGTGCATGGTATTGTAATTATAACTTCATTTTGTAATTGTTCTGCATGTTCTTCTGCATGTTGATGCCTGTGCCATCTCTTTTGTATATTAAACAGATCATTTCTGCAAAAAAAAGACGACATTATCATGATACATTATACATCTTTACACCACAAAATATGATATACACATATGTTAACCCTTCAAGTGGCAATGTGTTTTGATGTGCCTCACTGTATTATTTTTGCCTTACTGTATTATGTCAGACAATTTTACTAGTCTATTGATCCGAGCTTATAAATTAAGTGTCGTGTTTTCATATTCAGCAATGCAATTACATTCCCAACTAACTGCTAAAATATGTCAAACTATTATTAGCAAATTTTGTCATAATTTCTCACAGAGCAATCGGACATCACCAGTTCCAAACTATGACATTGTATACTATGTAAACTACATAGTTTTATATAGTTCTGAACAGACAATGGTAAAATGTTATCTATTTTTTAAGACTCTTCCCTTGGTGAGTAAAACATCTGGATTTAGTCTCACCGATAGAGTAAAATAAAACAGGGACTGTGGAGCCTGTTTAAAAAGGGGGGGGGGGGCAGGATAGCATGGGAGCTAATCCACACAGGCAGGTGCTGTCCAGACTTTATCCGGTAATTTTTATTATCCACCGAAAAAGTGGGGGGGGAGCATGCCCCCCCTGTTCTGCAGTCCGGCCGTCCCAGTAAGAAAGTAGCTAGGGTTCATTTGGGTACATAATTTTGCAGCTTAATGGGCTGACCGATATATCTCAGGGGCTGCTCATTGGCAGATAGTGTATTAAATTAACCCACTGCGAGGCAGCAGTGAGCATGAACAGTCTCCTCTTAAAATCATCTGGCATTAGACAGAGTAAAACAATAAAGACATGCAGCTAGTCTTTTATATAGGGCTTATCAGAACAGGGCACATTGTCAAATGTAGGTGGGCCTCCTCTACTCTGGTCTTGTGCTATCTATATATATTAATTCTGCATTATGATGGGCAAGTATATAAATTTCATACCATATTAAACCTTTATGAACATGTAAACAACCACAATTTATACAAGTAATTAAAAACTGGCAGTCTCTGTCTGGCAATAAAACCACAAAGGCCAGTGCTGACACTGAAAACAACATAATTTCATGTAGTACACAATATTTAATCATTAACAATATTGTGAATATATTGCTGTATATATTAATAGGATGATGAGTTTTTGACATAATATATGAAGGGTCTAGTGACCGACTCAGAGTCTCAGACTAGCTAGTCGTCTAGAGTTTAATATAAAAAAGTTTCGTGAATCTTACCTGAAAGAATTAGACTTTCTTTTTAGTTTCTTTGTAGTAAAGTGCTGCATCCACAAGCGAAGCAAACTGGCGTTGTAAAACAAGTAATGTGCGAGGGAAATATTAAGATTTTTGCTCAAAAACAACAGAAAACTTAAAATATCTTTATATTTACTATTATTTTAAATATATCTGTGCAAAAACCAGGGGGGTTAAGGATATCTTCGAAAGCTTAGGATCGCGGTTGGTCAGTGGCAATTACCATGAAAATAAAGTAAGTGTTGTCATGGAAATGGCGTAAGATCCGCCATGTTTTTGGCGACACTTTTTTTCCCCGAGCAGGTCCTCCAGTAATATAGTATAGCTCAGTGACCTGCTCCTATACTTCGTTCAGTCAACGAAGTGAAGCCAAAAACCAGTGAACTCTATATATATATATCTGGAATGATAACAGCGAGCGAAAAGTGAAGCCGACAAAAAAATCACGACATAAGTATTCGTCATTGTCTTCGTCATCAACTGTTCAAGAACTTTCTTACAGTATTAAAAATCACTTACATATAAAATTTGTAATTATTTTGAAAGTTTTTATCACAGTTTTTATATCTTTATTCACTTTTAACCTGAAGATGGAGTTATACTCCGAAACGTAGTTATTAAAATAATTTTTTACTAAGCCCATATGGTCTAATTTATATTCAAACACACGTACATATTCATTTACATTTTGCTGGCAGGCAAATTCCGATCACACAATAAATTCTTTAAAAAATAACGTACCAGTGTATTGACTAAAAACTATAAAACTGGTAAACTAAAAAACAATTCAAACAATCGCGAAAAATGGCAACGGCAAAGTCACAGTTGCAAGTCAATTTACCTACCTGTGAAATGAAATTTTCTCGCAAGAATATCTCTTTCCTTGTGCATCCAGAACGACAGTACGACACAATATATTTGAAAAAGTGATTCTTTTCTCCACACGGGGAAGTTTTCCTCGACTTTTTTCCGACAGCGAACTCAATGCAGTAAATTTTAGGAGCAAAACAGTTTGCTCCTAAAATGTATTGCATTGAGTTGGCCATGTTTTTAATTTTTTTTCGTGATTGCGTTCAAATTTATACTGGCCGTGCAACGGTTTGCAGAGGGGGAATGAAACTGACGTCCAATCCGCGTCATTGATCCGCGTAAACCTGACGTTTGAGGGACTGAGACTGACGTCCAATCCGTGTGAAAGACTGGTATCGAGGCTTCATTGTTTTCACAATCAAATGACTGAATGTTATCGTTCCAGATATATATATATATAGAGTTCACTGGACGTAACTAGTGTACCCACTTTTTTTGTGCGCATGCTCGGCAAGTTACTAGATGCATGCATCTGATTGGATGACGACCTGATGACGACTCACTTTAAACTTGCTGAGCACGCGCAGTTGATCATTTTTCGCCTGATCGCCTGAAAAAAAGTGGGTACATGATAACGTAATCTTCCGCAGTGTTTACAACGGTCAGTTACGTCTCTGTATGTATTATCTACTCTGTGCCCCTGGTTTTGGCAGTGTTTTTAGTTAAAAACATAATATATTTTTCTCGTATTTTGCTGGGGGTTTTTTTCAACTTGGAAGGATTTAAAGTGCCGTTTTGCTCCACTTGCTGATGCAACAATTTACTTTACTTTACATAAAAGGACGAGTAATTCGTTTCACAGGTAAGATTCATGGGATGGATAGTACGAAATTTTTTTAATTTCAATATTGGACATTAAAGTCATAAAAAACCTTGTAAAATTTGTGGTCATAAGACTTACTGTTTTGTTTTAGCCCTGGCGATCTGTCTTACACAGATTTTTCCGGTGAAAATAATTTCTTAGTTAATGTAATACACTTAATATAGACCAGGATTAAGCACAAGGCCAGAGAGGGGAGCAACGAGGGCAAAATAGCCAGGGCCACTACACTGGATTCACTTGTTATATGACATCAACATATAGTCGTGTACTGTTAACAAGTCAACTGTTAACAAGTCAACTGTTAACAAGTCAACTGTTAACAAGTCAACTGTTAACAAGTCAACTGTTAATGGTCCGCATACAATAAATTGACTTGTCCGATTTTGTCATATAAACAAAACTCCTGATTTTAATAGTCCTGAAACTGTTAAATTTGATGTTGTGAGCAGTGGCATAGCCAGACTGAAACAGAAGTGGGGAAACAATCAATTGTGTCATCAAGAAATTGGTGGGTGGGTCAGTGAGGGAGCTGCCAAAGGCATGAGCCTGTTAGCGGGTCTGGGGGCACGCTTATCCAGAAGATTTTAAATCTGAGGCCTCTCAGAGCCCTGAAATGCAATCAAATTCACTAGCTCAGTAAGGGACCAGTCATTATTAATGCCGGGTAGGGGGCTGGAGGAAATTTAGAGGGGCCACAAAAAGTTTTAACCATTGAAGTGGGGGGGGGGAGAAAATATTTTGAACATAAAGGGGGGGGGGCAAAAAATAAAATCTATGGAATAGTTTGTAACATGTAATATCAAAAAGAGTAATGGATATATACAGTATACATACTTATTTTTCACCCTGCTCGGTTTCCTTTGTTCTTGTCGGGGAATATATTCAATATTCCCCTCTAATCAATTTCCGTTTAATAATCCCCTCTAATATTCACCTGCAATTAATAATCCCCTCTAATATTCACCTGCAATGTCTTTGCAGCACAAAAAATGAGAAAAAACAACATCGCGAAGGCAATATGGCATTAAGAATTATTTCTTTTCTGACTCGTTAACGTGACCTCGCAGTGTGAAAAATAAGTACGTTATTTTGAGGCACCTCGGGGATATGTGTTTATTCACCTCGGCGCTACGCGCCTCGGTGAATAAATCACATATCCCCTCGTTGTCTCAAAATAACCTATACATACATTGAACAGTAATGCCCAATATATTGAACCTAAAGTTGTGTTCTAACTACTGTATATGGAAATTGTCATCCTCATCATCACCGTAGAATTTGTCTGAAGGGTCATGCACTGTATTTGCAACTATGCAAGATTCAATTGACAGTTGTTGTCCTGTTTTACGCTTTTTAACACAGCTAGCAGACCTCTTTGGCATGTTCTGTTTCTGCATGTTGTTGACAGTCTCTTCTGCCATCTCTTCAATATAATGCTTCCACCAGACACAAATGTTTTTTTATCAATTAGTAAAAGACTAGGCCTGATGTGTGGTTTTTTTGTTTGAGGGCCAACAACTTTTCAGGTATAAAGTCTGAATTGTCTATTGTTATATTGTGAAACTAAAGTCACTCCTGTCCACCTTGGCTATCATTTTCAATATTTACAATATTCTTTACAGCTGCAAGTAAACTGAGTATGAGGGCAGGAAAAATGCTTACGAAACTGACTTAGATTCATTGAATTCAGAATTGGGGGGAGGGGGCTATGAAATATGGTGCCTCAATGGGGGGGGGATAAATTTTGATTTTGTTAGAAAAATAAGGGGTCATGAGAAATTTTTGCTATTCATAAAAATTTCCTCCAGCCCCCTACCCGGCATTAATAATGACTTGTCCCTAAAAACAATCCGTAAGAATCATTTACAAAAAAAATCATGTACTGGACATGTATTTCCACAACCAAGTGGAATACACAAAGAACTACAGCAAGAATGTTTTTATTAAATTAATTAACCTAACTGTGGATCCTTCCTCTCTCTTGAACAAATTGTTATCTTTGCCTGTCATTGTCTTGACTTTCTTGGAATTAGTTACAGAGAAACTATGATTAACTAGTGGATAATGATTCACCATTTCAGTACTATGTAAAAATACTTTTATTAGCTAATACACATGTCATGCAGTTTTATGGATGAGAAGTATCCACAATTTTGATAAATGCTGTTTTTGAGGTGGGAAAATGTGTAATAATATTAGTGTAATATGATTGTTGTCTTTTGTCTTGCAGGAATTATTGGTTATGTTGCGGGCATCACAGAACATGGGACAAGGCATTAAAATACAGAATAGCCAAAAGCGAAGTCATAATAATTAATACCACAGTAACTTAATTATCTGATGGCAATCATAGATGGATTTTTTGGGGGGATGCAGGTGGTGTGCACCCCCAAAAATATTTTCACCACCTCAGAAAGTTTTCCCACCCCACCTAGAGATATTTGCACCCACCCCAGAAATTTAAATGCTGGTTTGATTAAATGACAGCAGTATAATTGAACTAAATAAGAACTAAATAAGACTTAAAACAAGGCCAAAAATCTCAAAATATCCTGGGGGTCGGTGCCCCCAACCATACCCCAACTCTGTCCCCACTAGTGACTGTTAACCCTCAGCATGGGCATACAGGAAGGAAAAAATTAGGCGGACGGAAAGAAATTTGCCTGACTTTTTCGGATTGTGCCCGAGTTGTCATAAAAAAATTTCCAGAGAAACTTTCCGAAATTGTTGTCAACAGGGGGGGGAGGATGCTACGAAAAATTCCTATTGGATAGCATATTTCCCACAAAATTGACAGAATAATAAGCCAATACTGCCCAACTGGCTTTGTTTGCCCAACAAACTGGGGGGGGGGCACACCCATGGTAGACCCCGGTAGACCCTGCTGCATCTTACTCAGCACACTATGTGCTCACTTTCCACCCCTGAATTTTTCTGCACACCCCCACCCCAAGCAAAATTTGAAAATGTCTATAGATTATGGTGATGATAACATAAAAGTATAAACCTTTATTACCGTAAGTTAATGTTAATTAATTAAGACTATTAAGTTAACACATGATCCACTACATCATGTACACTTAATTAATTACAATAATTTTAGTGTTAATTTAAAATTATTCACTGTTAATAATTCTACTGTATTGAAGAAGTTCAAATAAAATAGTTCAAAATTAATCCAGCTTTTGTGTCTTCAATTTCCATACATCTTGCTTGGTATACTGCCCTACTTTTACTTGTCAATGTCAGAGCCACTCTATGGGTTAATTGGGAAACCAGAGTGAGAGGACAAATGCCAAATTATGATATGACAATTGTGAGATAATTCTGGAATAAACAAAAATATATTATATGTTGTAACTTTGAGCACAAAAATGATGATGGGAAAAACAAAACAATGTGACTCAACTCCAAACCAGAGACACCAGAACCATTGGTGCAATTATCAGGCTTTTAATGGTATAATAATCAAAAGTGGCCAGGATACAAGGTACCTTCCCAGTGCAAGGGAAGCAACATACAGTAGTTGGTGTTCCAAATTGTTAAACCCATTAAGCTGCAGACAGGGCTGTACACAGGATTTTTTCACCGGGGGGGGGGAGTAAGGCCTATATGCCGAAAAAGTCCCAAATATCCAAAGAATAATTAATGACATTCTAAAAATCGTGAATATAGTTTTCTCTGGGGGGCAGTTGCCTCCCTTGCCTTCCCGCTGTGTATGGCCCTGGCTGCATTGCAGCTCAATTGGTTAATTATAAAGGTTATGATAGACGTTATGTACCACCTGAGCTTTCATCACCCCTACAACCCTCTGCCCCCCAACAATGTGTTATAAATGGCCAATGTACTACCTTTTCATCATACAGCAGCAACATTTTCTTGGGGGGGGGGGGTATTTTGGGAAATACTTGAGTATACTCCAAAAATCTTGACATTGATTAGCCTTGTATGCAAAGTTGGCACATATTACACAAACCCTGAATATATTTAAACACATACCTGACATACCGTTTGCTTTGAAGGAACGTCTGGAGTTACTGTAATACCATTTTCTAAAGTACAGTATAGATAACAAAAAGTTTTAGTTTCTGCAACCAAATTTTGAAATATACAGATAACAGATTGCCAAATTACACAAAAAAACAGTAAAAGGCTGTTTTCTTAACAAAAAGATTGCATTTCATCGTCAAGCTTAAGTTAAGCCTACCAATTTTATGTGAGATAAGATAAAGCATAAATAAAATTGAATGAAATACCTGTTTATAGCTCGCTGATTCAAATATCCTCTTTGGCTTTGCTCACATTTTGCGAGGACAGCGAGGTTTGAATTTTGTTGTCTTTCTCGGGAAGAATAACTCGTATGACTTGCACATCTTTGAACCAATAACCAAGTTTAGAAAAAATATCTCGAAAACATTTTAAAAATCGATTCAAATATCGAGAAAATACTACAAA